AGCACTAACGTTGGGTGACAATTCTTATATAAGTACTCACTTAAAAAAAAAAAAGATTGTTAGAGTAAAACAAAGATGTCAAGAGTCAAGTTTTAGATTGTGCTAAAAACTTCAAGTAGACACTGATTGTTCTGCATTCTACATTATTATAATGTTAAAGCATTCAGGTTTTAAAATATTCTTTTTTAAATTCCATTAATTTGTTTTTATTGTTATTAATATAAATAATAGCAAATTTAAAATTACATCTATGGCTTATTTTTCTATTAGACAGCACTATTTTAGTTTCAGAACGAGATTATGGGGAAGATATAATAGATTTATAAAAATTTTAGCTCAGAGGTGAAAGAAAATAATCTTTGCTATAAGAGAAATGCCATTATTATAGTTGTTGTTATAAAATATTCTTGAAAAAAGTAAAACAGGTCTTACTTTTTCTGACGTGTAATCCATTGCTTTTTTTCATCCCTCACCCTCCTACAACCTCTCCCCCAAACGAAAACCAAACCTCCACAACAAAAAAATTCCACAATATATTCCTATATTTATTTTCAAAACAATCCAAAAAGCAAACCATAGCCCTTCAGACAATCCCTATCCCAGGACGCTGCACACCAGTAGAACCACCCTATAGGTTTCCGCGGCTGGATTTTTCAGAGAGGAACCCTGGTGGCACAGTGGTTAAGTGCACCCCTGGGAACTACAGGACCGTAGTTGAAAGCCAGCAGCCACTCCAGGGGAGAAGGTCGTGACAGGTGGCTTCTGTAAAGATTTGAGGCTTGGAATCCCCAGAGGGCAGCTCTACTCTGTAGAGGCCACTATGGATCAGAATGATTCCACAGTAGTGGGCTTAATTATTTTGTTGTGGTTTGTTTAACCTCTGAGGAAGTGGACTACAGCGTCATTCTCCCGAAAGAAAAATCCAAGTTCTCCTGAGCTGGTGAATTGCATTCACTTTTCCATTGGCTGCCGAATGTTTAACCAAGGCGCCTCCACGGCTCCTTTTTGAAAACAAAAAGCCCTAAATAAGTTTTAAACAGAGTGCCAAGGTCTCTTCTGACTTCTCTCCAGCTTGGATGTCGGAGGAGAGTTTTTTTAGTTACTCCTAGCTATACACACTGTGGGCTCTGGTGGCCTACTACTGGTAAGAAGCTGCGCTGCAATCACAAGCATAGACAGCATTTCGGGAATCGGGGCTCTGCGGTCTAGCAGGGGTGTTAGAGTGAGGAAGAACTGATTTAATGGGTTGTTGTTGTGTATCGTCAAAGCGGAACCAACCCTATCTGACCCGCCTGTGGATTTCCAGAGGGTGGGCTCGAACCGCTTGCCTTTAAGTGGCCAGAGCAATTATTTTTTATGGTTAAGTTATCCGAGCTCTCTGACCTAAAGGGAGAGAGGTTAAAGGTCGAGCCTCTATCATTTTGCGCTTTGGCCCGCGCCAATTCACAGCCTCTTACCCGTCTTTCCAGAGAAGTATTCAGTCCCTACAGGTGTTGGAGGGAGTCAGAGATCAGAGGTAGAGAGAGTGGCTTCTCCACAGTCCCAGGCCAGGCACCACTCGCGGCCTTATTGTTCTGTTGGGGTTACATGCCCACGGGCTTCCTAAACCACCCAGCCCAGAAATTCTCGAGGCCTCACCATTGAAGCCGATCACCGCCTCAAGCTCTAGCTCAGCCACCTCGGTCTCTGGCGACGTTTCAGAACCCATCACAGCGCCGCACAGTTGACTTTCCTCAGTAACAGCACTCAGCCAGTGCAGCGTCCTTGGGTCGTTATGGTAACGGGAGAGCGCATGCGCATGAGAGCCATGCTCTTGCCAGGACTCCTGCATCGAGATTAAATTAATTTTCTCTCTCACAAACATAGGGATAATTTCCCCCTCTTGTATTTCTCTAGGAATTTAAGAGGCACTAAATAAATACACAGAGGCAATATTATGCTACATGGAGAGAAGATTGAAGTTGTCAAAAATTTAATTAATCCACAATCAACATCCTTGGCACCAGCAGTCAAGAAATCACAAGAAGTATTGAGTTGGGGAAATCTGTTATCAAAGACCTCTCCAAAGTAGTGAAGAGCAAGGCTGCCGGTTTAAAAAGTTACACTTGATTCAAGCCATGATCTTTCCGATTGCCTGTTATGCATCTGAAAGTTGGACACAAGTGGCAGAAAGAGAAGTGATGCTTTTTGAGTTATGGTTTTGGAGAAGAGTGCTAAAATGTTGCGTGGGCTGCAAAGAGGACAAATTTTCTCTCCTGGAGAAAGTGCGACCAGGTCTTTGGAGGCAAGAATGGTAAAAGTCCATCTCATCTATTTTGTGCCTTTTGTTGTTGTTGTTGTTATGTGCCGTCGAGTCGTTTGCGACTCATAGCGACCCTAATGTACAACAGCCCTAAACCGTGCTCTATCCTGTGCCAATTACATTGCCTCTGACGCACCCATCCCGATTACCCCAGTCACTGAATCAATCCACCTCATAGAGGGTCTTCCCCTCCTGCGCTGTCCCTCCACTCTGCCCAGCATGATGTCCCTCTCCAAAGACCTGTCTCTCCTTACAACATGTCCAAAGTATGTCAGACGAAGCCCAGAATCCTTGCCTCCAAGGACCAGCCTGGTTTAACCCTCTCTAGGATGAATCTGTTTGTTTTCTTGGCAGTCCAATACTGTTCTCCAGCTGTGCCTTTTGTTAGGAGGGGCCAATCCTTGGAAAAGGGACTTTCCAATCACTATCACAATGAGTTCAAGTAAATGAGCTGATAAGGATGGTACAGAATAGGGCAAGGTTCAAATCCATTGTGTATAGTGTCGCTATGTGTCCTGGTTGTCGACAACACCTAACAACGTGAAGTCTGTGACATCCTTGGGAAGTATGTACTAAAACACCTTTTTTATTGTTATTTTATACCATCGAACTGGAACTGACCCATCAGTGGGTTTTCAGAGGATGCATCCTGTCTCCATACCTTTTCAACATGTATGCAGAGCAGATTATCCGAGAGGCGGGGCTCTATGAGGAGAATTGTGGCATCAGGATTGGTGCAAGATCTATTAACAATCTCCATTATGCAGATGACACAACCCTGCTTACTGAAACTGAGGAGGACCTCATGCACTCGCTGCAAAGGGTCAAGGACTGCAGCCTTCAGTATGGACTAAGGCTCAATGTCAAAAAGACAAAGATTCTCGCCACTGGACCAATGGCAGCATCAGGATGGATGACGAAGAGATTGAGAGTGTTCACAGCTTCACTTTGCTCGGCTCCACAGTCAACACTCTTGGCACCAGCAGTCAGGAAATCAAAAAGCGTATCGCGATGGGAAAGTCTGCTGTTAGGGATCTCTCTAAGGTACTCAGGAGCAACAGTGTCTCTCTGGAGACTAAGGTGCGCCTGATACAGGCCATGGTATTTGCAATCGCTTGTTATGCATCAGAGTTGGACAATGACTAGGGAGGACAGAAGGAGAGTGGATGCTTTTGAGCTGTGGTGCTGGAGAAGGGTACTGAATATACCCTGGACTGCCAGGAAAACAAACAGATTTATCTTGGAGAGGATTAAACCAAGCTACTCCTTGGAGGCAAGGATTCTGGGGCTTCTTCTGACATACTTTGGACATGTTGCCAGGAGGGACGGGTCCTTGGAGAGGGACATCATGCTTGGTAGGGTGGAGGGACAGCGCAGGAGGGGAAGACCCTCTATGAGATGAATTGATTCGGTGACTGGGGTAATCGGGATGGGTGTGTCAGAGGCGGTGCGGTTGGCGCAGGATAGAGCAGGGTTTGGGGCTGTTGTGCATAGGGTCACTATGAGTCGGAAACGACTCGATGGCACATAACAACAACAACAACAACAACAACATAATCACGTGGAAGGAGAATGCCCATATTTTTCTCACGGAGAAGCTGGTGGATTCGAACCACCTGTCTTTAGGTTTGTTGTGCAAGTCCTTACCACAAAGCCATCAGAGCTCCCTAATCAAACACCTACTGGGATTTTTTTTTCCTTCTTCTTCATAATTCACTTGCTTCTGACCTCTGATAATCTACTTATTGCACTAGAGATAGATCCAATTCATAGCTGAACCCCAGCGGGTGTTCAGGGGCTGCAAATTGCACGGGAGGAGACTGCCTATCTTCTTCCGGCAGAGCAACTAGTTGATTTGAACCGTCCTCTTTGGGGGTTGGCAGTCGAACTCCTTAACCACTGGGCCACAAAGAGCATTGCTTTCCGGTTGAGTCAATTCACATGAATTGTACAGGACAGAACAGAACTGCACTAGAGTGTTGTTGCCACTTCCATAAAGTAATCTTTATGGAAGGTGGTCGCCACATTTTTCTCCTGCAGACCTTTTAGTTAGCAAACAATCACTGTGCCATAAAGCTTCCTCAGATGGGAAGAAAGCGATAAAATAACATAATTAATACTTTATTGACTCCCTTGTTTAACGTGGGATAAAATTCTAAGTGACAAGATTAAACGCTAATCTGATGGTTAGGAGCTCTGGTTACCTAGTACGTTGCACTGCCAACCCAAAGGGAAGTGGTTCGAATCCACCAGCCGCTCCTTTGGAGAAAGATGGATAATCTCTTTCCTTTCGATTTACTGCCTGTTTCTGAGTCAGTTCTGATTAAACAGCACATAACAACAACCAGAAGATCAGTGGATTAAACCCATCAGTTGATCTGAGAAAAAAAAAAAAAAAAAAAGATGTGGTCACTTTAACGATACAGCCTTAGGAAGTCCTATGGTACAATTGTATTTTGTCCTAAGGAGTTGCAAAGTGTTAACACAGGTTCTTCGCGCACACCACCAGCACACAAAGGTCTGAATGGAAATGCTCAGATTCTGTCGAACAGCAGTTTTATTGTAATCGTATGTGATAGCCTGCGTTTCTCAATAGGTGCAGATTGCTGCAATTTACTGTTACGAAGGAGAGCCTTCTCTTTTAAAAAAGTCTCGTTTTTAGGCATTATCGCAGGGTATCCGTCGTCCCAGTAAAATTCAGTTTCCCGTCGCGCAGTAGGCGAACCGCGCTATTTGATCCGCGCGGGCCGCCGTAGTCAGCTGCAGCGAGCAGGAAGTATCGGAGCAGCGGGCGGTGACTGCAGGATGGCCCCGGACCCCTGGTGAGCCAGGGTGGGGGTGACTTTTGGGGGAGCGTCCTTGCGGGGGGGTCGGGCATCCGAGAAGTGGGCGATTGCTTGACCTTGCTTCTCTAGACCTCTCAGAATAAGGGGAGGGACCGCTAGACCCCCTCTGCTGAGGGCAACTCTGTTGTATCTCCGAACCTTCTTTAGAGCTTGTGGTGGTCTCTCTGGAAGGAGACCGAGGGGACCCTTTGGACTCTGAGGAGGTGTGCTGAGTTGCTGAATATTCTTCTGGGCTGCTTCTTGCCACGGAGATTTTCCACTGTTTTTGGCTGTGAGCGGGATGGTGCAGGCTTCCCCGGGCTCCTCTGAAAGTGAAGTAGAAGTAATCTTTTTTTTCTTTTCTTTTGTGGACTGTCAGTCCCTCTGGTGTTTCACAAACGGAGAAACCGAGGTTCCAAATCTGTCCTCATGCTGTTTAGGGGTAGGACTGAAATATCTTGGGCCCTTTAGAAAATTTTTGAGTCTGGAAGGGAAATACACTTGCTTAGAAAGCATTTTTGCTTTGTTTTGTATAAATATCACCAAGACTTATTCCAGCACCAGCTTTTGCAGTAGAATAGTAGATAGCAAAGGGAATTTATTAATAAAGACGAGCTTTAATCACCCCAAATTATTATTGTAACACATTGAAGTTCAACATTTTGTTTAATAGTTGAAAGCAGACTATAGCTTGATAAAGCTCTTGTTGGACTATATGTTTTATACTTGGCATTTTCAATATAGGTTATGATGATTTAAGTTGCAGGCAGTCTGGATATAGGATAATGGATTCCAAGATCAAGGTGAAAGTTGTTTAGTTCCTGATAATTTGTATCCATCTCTTCATTGATGTAGCACTAATTTCAACAGTCCTAAATATGTCAGTGATGAGGATGACACAGGATAGGAACAGGGTTCAGATCTTTTGTTCATGGGGTCACTGTGAGTCGTGCTGGACTAGATGGTACCTACCAATAACAACACAGTCCAGCAGGGAGCTCTGGTGACCTACCTACTGGATAAGGAGGTGCACTGCCAGCCCAAGAGCAGGTGGTTCAAAACAACCACCTACTCTACTGGAGAAAGATGGGTAGTCTCTTCTCATGCCATGTACAGCCTCTGAAAAATCTGCTGGAGAGCCACCTGTGGGTGTACTCTGACTTGACAGCAGCTCATTGTTTGCACTGCATACAGCCCGGGTAGATAGAACATGGTACAAATTTTCAAAGAAGAAAATACGTAAAACTGGGGGAGGAGAAAGAGAGGAGGAGGGAAAGAAATGTGCAACAATGAATGAACAAAAAAACCCAACTTTTCTAAATTTTTCTTAAAATCACAATTAAAAAAAATTAAAAAAGGACATGTAGAATCCTGCCACTGTTTGGAAATAGCCACTATTGACTTTTTTTTTTTTAAATTGATTTATTACTTTAATCTGGTTATCTATCTCTATTCCCAAACAGGGAACATTCTCTTATCTTCCTGATTTCTTAAAAGTGATACTATTGAGTCATGATTATTAACATTTTTGTGTCCTTTGACACAGTGCTAAATTACTTTCACCTCCTGGAAGCAAACACATCATCCATCCCCCCCAGGTTATACATAAAAACCAAGAACCAGTTTTTATCACTCAATTCTGACTCATGCTGACCCTGTATATATATCAGAGGAGAACTTGTTTCATAGAGTTTTCATTCACTGGTATTTGCAAAGCACAGAAGTCTAGATGCATTGCATTAAAATATATTAAAAATATAAAAGAACTAGAAGAAGATAGAGGTGGATAAAAAACAGTTCTAGGTTATGAAGAAATTCCTTTCCTAAATCTGGCTTTAAGTGAAATTTGTGTGTAAGTCAGGACAGTAAGTCAGGTGTGGTCTGTAATATCAGTTAGTCAAATGTTTGTCTTAGTATATATTATAGTATATAGTGTACCTTTCTGTGCATAGGCAGAACCTTGGTGATGTTATGGTTAAGGCATTTGAGGCACCTCTTCAATTGCTGTCAAGTCAGAACTGATTGGATTTTCAGAGGAGTTTGTCCATGTTCCTCCCAAGGAGCAGCTGTTAGATTCAAACTGTCCACTCTCTTGCATTGGCACTGTAACTCCCTATCCACTAGTCTACCAGAGTGCCGTCTTTAGGGAACTTGTAATGTGTAATGTGTGTTGAATACAGCTCATAACTGTTGCACTTCCCTGACCAATGGGAAAGTGTCAGGCAACTAACTACTCAAGGTTTCTGTTAGCCAAGAGGTAAAAAGTTGAGATTTGGCGCCTAGAATCATCAGGCGCCTTATCTCACTGCCCAAACCCAGTCCCTGACAAGCACCACAGTGGGGGGAAAAAAAGAGGTAAAGGGAGAGGAACTCAGAGGTGACTGTCCTCTCAAACTGTATGTCCTCATAACTTTTGTTAAGAAGTTTCTCATTACATAAACAGTAAAATATGTTAACTGGTCTCCAAGATGTTTTTTACTATTTCTCTTCTTATTTACTGACTTTCCCTGTTTCCAAAATTACATCTTTATCAGAAGTCAGCAGGAGAATCAAGATTTTGCAGGTATACACATACATAGATGCCTAGGGCAGAGTGTTCATTTGCCCTGATTACAGGTTTTAGATTACATTCTTTTAATCTAAGAAGCTCCTGCCTTGGTCAGCTTAACCTCTGTAGCTCCCTTTTTTGTTTTTCTTTTCAGATTCTTTAGAGTGTAAAATACATTATTTGCTTTATACTGTGTGTTTTAGCACAGATAGTGTGTATATTTGATATGCAGAATAAATAATTTAGATTTTGTTGGTGAGGAAGGATGATGGAAGACTTCTTTGCTCTGAGACTTGCAGCCCCTTTTAGAATGGCAGCTGTAAATGCTGTTAGGGGAGTGGAATGACAACAGCTCTAGCTACTCCCTGCTGTAAGGAGTTGCAGTTTGTGAACAGCATTTAGACTTCTTTGGGTGGAGGCTGATTCAAGGGTCCACAGAAGACCTGGGAGCTCATAAGGGTTTCCGTGCCCAGACTATTTGTATCTTTTTGAATTAGCATCATTTTTCACTGGAAGTAATGTAGTGTGAAAGTTGTATACTTAGAAAGCATGTTAGAAAGACAAGATCTTAGCAGCAATAGGAGGGACATGTCTTATTTTCTTAGAATGTTTTGGACTAAGATATAACTTCCAAGAGTAAACTTGATTTGCCTGAATGTCCCCATTTTAATGACTGCAGAACAATTTACCATTGTTGTTGTTATTATTAAGTGCCAAGTTGTAGACGACACTATGAATGAAAGACCTGAACACTTGTATAAGTTTCATCGTCTCTCCAAGTTCATAGTTTCCGGAAGCAAGATATTTCAGAAGTGGACACCACTCCGGCTTCCAGGATTAAAATAATAATAATGATTAAAATAACCAGGAAGCTGCACCAAATAGCGTCCACCATGGGCAACTATTATCACATTTAATACATCAATGTCACAGTGTATAGCAGCACAGCAACAAATGGACAGACCAGTGCTATATCACTTAGAAGAATGTTTTAAAACCAAGGAAGCAGCAGCATTGGAAATCCTGTGTGGTACCAGTTTTTAACTGCCCTTCATTCCTGCACAGCAGTATATTCCAATGTTGTTGTTAAGTGTCATCGAGCTGTAGACAACTCATAACGACCCTATGAACGAAAGACCTGAACACTTATATAACTTTTCATTCTTTCTCCAGGATTATAGGGTTTCCAGAGGCAAGCTCTTTGGGAAGTGGATGCCACTCCTGCTTCCAAGCTTGTTTTAATCAGGAGCTTCACCAAACACTGTCCTCCATGGGTAACGGTTACCACATTTGACACATCAGTGTCACAGTGTTTAGCATCACAGCAACCATTACTTAAAATTCTCTTACTCTTTTTTCACTTTCTCTTACACTGTTCACTTAATTTCTAGTCACTTACTGTTTCTGAAAACAAAACACGAAAAACCAAAACACCTTAAACTTTAAGATCAAACTACTTTCTTTTCCTGCTAAAACAGTACCACTCTTATCCTCCTACTCAGTCAGACTGATAGACAATTTTTTATGCTTTCTACAACTGTTCAGTAAGTTCTCATAAAGATTCACAGTTCCCTCACCACTTATAGAGAGAGCAAGTTTGCACTTTGGCTTTAGGCAATACCTAAGTTTTATTCAATTCAATTAAAAACTTGTAGGAGTTTTACCAACATTCTTGGTTCTTGAAACTTGGAGATTTATGGTTCTTTTTTTTTTTTCACTTTATAGGTGAATGATTAGAGCATGTACATAATCTGGGAACAGAACTATCTTCAGTCTTTAACATAAATGGCATCAGTACAATGAAAAAAACAGAAGAAGATGAAGAGTCAAATCCTTATAAACCGTAGTATGGCAAATGGTGGAGCTGTGCAGATGTTTCTGGCACAGTCCTAAGAATGCCCATTGCTTTATTTTCTAGGTGAATATAGATTGACCTTGAGTTATAAAGCTCTCTTTTTTTACTATTTACTACTGCTGGTTATTGTTTGTTTGAGGTATCTGAGACCTTTGGAGTTACTTGTGCTTAAAATTTTTTTATAATTTCTTCTTCTAGTCTGGGTGTTTTGTTTGTTTTACTCTTAAGAAAATACTTGTACTTAACAATTGCAAGCCAACTTTGTCCTTTTAGAGTCTGGTGTGGAACATTCAGGCAGGGAAACAAGAGGCTGTGAGATAAAGCTTTCTTGAATTCTTCCAAAAAGCCATTAAGGAGAGAGTTTCTGCTTTAATATTATTCCTTTTTTTATGTTTACACTTGAAACTTTATACTTTCAAAAGAGAAAAGGCTTTGAAAGAAAAGGTAGAACTGGCGAGCTCTGGTGGCCTAGTGACAGGAAACTGCACTGCAATCCCAGAGGTGCTCGGTTCAAATCCACCAGATGCTCTGCTGAAGAAGGAGGAACAATCGCCTCCTGTACCAGTCAGATCCAATTTGATGGTACACACATAA